GGGCGGGTGGGCCCTGCGGCCTCCCCCCGCAGCAACCGAGCCTCCTGCTCTGTGCCCGCCCAGCCCTACCTGGCCGGCTGTAGCCCAAAGGGTGGGACCCGAGGCCCCAGATCCAGGATCCATGGCATCTCCTGGAGGCCCCTTCTTCCCGCCCAGGGTCGAGTGTCAGGGAAGAAAGGCAGGCGCCTCTGACCCAGGCCAACCTCTGTCAGCTGCGGCTGGGATCCGGACACATCAGCGCTGCCTGGAGAGCTCTCAGGCTTCAAACAAACGAGTAGATGCGCTGTGGGCTCTTAGATCCGCTCTGTATTCCAGAAAATTAGAGAAATAACAGAAAAGCGGAAAGAAGAGAAGAAAAAATATTAGCAACACAGTGCTGCCCTGTGCAGACAGTGTCTGTGCTTCACGCTCTGTCAGGGCCTGTGCGCTGATGCCTGCGCGTGTGTGGGTGTGAGTGTGTGGGACTGGAGGCATCACCGGCTGTGTCCTGCCATGTGCGGTGGCAGGGCCTTCCAAGGCATCCCGCTTGCGCAGTGACCAGTGTTGTCGCTTGCCAGGGTGCAAAAGGATTTAGCACAGGCTTGTTGTCTGGTACTTCTGGCCTTCAAGAGCAAACATCAGACATGAGCTTGGCACTTTAAGCAGAAAATTTTGTCAGAGAGACTGAGGTCAAAGGTTTAGCAAACATGGCTTCCTGTTGAATATTAAACGGTGCTCACAAAGGGGTCCAGTGCAAATAGGTTGGTTGGATCCTGGGAGATGATGCTCCCACCCCCAGAATCAAGTCAGCCTCATCTTCTGCATCCAACCCACTATCGCAATGATCCCCAAGGGCATGTGGGCAAATCTCGGGGTTGAGAAATTAGGCACCAAGATGCCTTTGGTGAATACCAGTGACATGTGGTATACGACCAGCTTGAAACTGCACTCTTACTAAACCCGCTGTAACGGTACCTCATCAGGGACCTGCTGCACTGTGGGCACTACGCTAAGTGGTGCCCTATGGCCCTGGCTCTGTTACAGCGGAGGAAATTATGAAAATTACCTGCCCATGCCGCACACCTGGGAAGCACCCTCCAGAGTGGCTCTTCAGACCCAGCGCCTCCTGATCCCATCCCAGAGCTCTTGCCTGTTGGTCTCGATGCCTCTGAAAGAGCGCTGGTATTCAGAGTTGTCAGAGAGGCACCTGCAAGGTCAGCAGAAGGCTGCCTCATATGCCCCTTGGTGAGCCAAGGCTGTCCTCAGAAGAACAGGACGCCGGCCTGGGAAACACAGCAGCTCTTGGCCACCCCAAAGCCGGCAGTTACGGCTGTCAGAATGAACGCCTACCACAGGGACTAAAGGTGTAAGGCATTTGCACACACACTTACAGCCATGTCCTCTCCAGAAGTACAGAAATGGATGCCTTAAGTACAGAAGGCCACAAAGTAAAGATGATAGACCATGCCGTCATGACACAGGCTCTAAAAGGTTAGGCCAGTAGCTATTTGCTTTCTGCATTCACCGAGCTGATCATGTATAATGTTTGACAAGTAGAAGGGACAGTTTGTGGTGTCCTCTTTATTGATCACTTGGTTGTGAGGGGACCCAATTTAAAAAATGAAATGTCGGTCAATAAAGCTTACATGTTTTGTAATTCTAATTCATGTCAGAGTTGGTTTAAAGCCTGTAATTGATCTATGTGATCACAGGTAAAAGCTCTCTCTCTGATACAGCTAATGGAAATGATGCCTCACTTTAGACACATCCTATTTCGCTTTGTTCTATACTAGATGGACTGTGGTCTTCCAACAGTCTAGTACCCATGAGGAAGGAAGACGGTGTCTTTTTCACTGGGTACTGTGAATTCCATGAACCCGAAGGAGCCATGACTTGGCTTTTACGGCCCCCTATGCTGAGTGAATTCTAAGCGTTCCGCTGGTTTTCCGATGTATGGATTTATGTTCAGAGAAACCCACAGGCCGGGGAGGTGGACTTGCATCAAAAAGCTGATTGGGTTGGTAGCTGACAGCAGGATCCTCTTTAAAAATTGGGAAAACACTCATCACACTTTAGTTTTTTAGTTTTTAGGAAAGAACAAAAACCTCTCAATGTTATGGACAAGGGAAATTACACTTTGCTCAGGAACTTCTTGGTAAGCTCCAGTGCAGTGATCGCTCCGAGGCCCATGGTCCAGGACACACACGTTCATGTCTGTATTTACAGCGCTTTCTCACCAGGAAGAGAAGCGGCCTCCAGGAACCTTGAATCCCTTTTTCTGTCTTTGCTCAAGGTGGACTGCAGGCCCCATCCTTGCCTCAACTGTAGCATGAGGTTTGGTTGGAGATGGACAAACAGCGCAATGAAAAATATTGTTAAACATTAATATATTAATCACCCAGCCCCTGCTGCTTACTTGATACACATTAGTTCAACAAATAAGCTGCTTTTGTTCAAAAAGGAAAATACAGAAGAAAATTAAAAACTAATATTTACATGTCTTATATTTTCTACCTTTCTTTTAGAGTTTCCTTCTCAGGAGGCATATAATACACAGGCTTTCGAACTGCAAATCAACCCCAGCGCTTGCTACCCCTGAGCTCCTTTCGCCTATTTTAAGACAGGATCTGGCTAAGCTGTCCAGGTTGGCTTCGAACTCGGCTCCTCTTGCCTCAGCTTTGTGCGTGGCTGAGCTCCAGGCCGGTGGCACTGCCCCCCTGTGCCTTTCCGGCTCCTTCAGGACCTTAGACGTCATTGGAGAACGCGATCCCACGACCCCTCCCTTCCCGGACCGAGGCTCTGGTTTTCCCCACGGCCTGGGTCTCTCCGGCCAGCCCAGCCCCTCTGGCCCTGCTAGGACTGCTCAGAGCGGTGGCGGCCCATGGTGCGGTGCGACGCCCTGAGATCCGCAGGGTGAGGACGCAGGACCGCTGTGCAAGGCCCCTCACTGCTTCCTGGCCCCTTGGTGGGTATCGGCTTTAAAACAGATCTATGCCCGCTTAACAGGAAGAATATGGAAATTTCTGAACGTTTTTAAAGATAGCGCCTTTCCCTAGTGCTAAGGCTCCGAACGTCTGCCCCGAGCTCAGAGTTCCGCCCCTTTCCGTGTCACAGCTGCGGGGCCAACCTGGGCACTGCGCGGGGAGGAGGAGGCGTCGCGGGCCTTCAGGAGCCCCGATGTCGAGCAGCGGCTCCACGGCCCGTCCGGCTGGTTCCCGGGTCCCACACTGAGATGCCTGCCCATTAAACGGACAAGGGACAGATTAACACGAAAAAAGAGACCACAGAGTCCGCCAGAAAATGCACTCACGCTTCCGGAAAGAGAAACTTGCATAAATACTTCAGTGCTGAGCTCCCTACGGTGACGAGAGGTGCTCAGAGCGTGGCTGTAAGCTTCCTGGAGTTTGTGGTTTTTCTCTTCCTGGAGTGTGTATACAGTTTTTGGTGGACTCTGCATTATTAAAACTGTGTATCTGTGGGGCTGGGGCGGTAGCTCAGTGGTGCCGCCACCTGCCTCCCAAATGCAAGGTCCTGAGTTCGATTGCAGAAATGGTATGGGACCATACTAGAAATAGTATCGGGACCAGAAGTGTGTGTGTGTGAGTGTGAGTGTGTGTGTGAGAGTGAGTGTGAGTGTGCGTGTGTGTGTGTGAATTCAAGGAGAAACGCAATGCACGAGATGGCTGGAGCCAGGCTGGAGCTCGGTGGTGGGGCTCGCCGGGGCAGGCGGGAGGCCCCAGCCTCTGCCCGGCGCTGAAAGCCAAGGAGCGATCAGAGCCTGGGCACCATCCTGCCAGAAGCACTGCGGGGGCTTCGGTGGGAGGTCGGAGGGCCGGGGACGACCCGCACACGCGACTTTCAGAAGGACACAGGGACCCGGGGAGCAGACAGACGGGAGGAGGGCAGCTCAGCGTGGGCCGGGCGCTGGTCCCCGGAGATGGGCCAGGACCTCCTGATGGCAAACTCGGGGGAGGGTATTTATAAAATTGAGGTTTTAAGAAATGAATTTTATCAGTACACTTCTGAATACACGAAGATCACATTCAGCCTGGGGAGTCTGTACCTGTACAAGATTTATCCTGATTCTTTTTCACATTCCCCTCCCCCTCCCCTTCCTCCCCTCGCTTGTAAAAGCTTAGTTTCCAGTTTTCATTCTATTCTCTTTGTTTTTCCTTTCCCTTCCTTTTCTCCCCCGCTTTTGTTCCTCTTCCCATTTAACACTTTCTTCCTACTTCCTGATTTCTGTCATCCATTTTGATCCTTATACATGCTTTCAGTTTCTCAGACAAGAGAAACAGTGCACTATTTAAACTATTTATACTTATGTGTCTGATTTATTTCACTTAAAAATGTGATCTTGGGCCGGGGATTTAGCTCAGCGGTTTGGTGGCCTGCCTTGCAAGCGCAAAGACCTGAGTTCAAAACCCGGTACCAAAAAAAAAGAAAAAGAAAAATGTGGTCTCAAGGTGCATCCACTTACCTAAAAATGTCTCCTTTATCCTTCTTTATGGCAGAGTAATACTCCAGTGTGCACTTTTTTTAAAACCATATTTTCCTTATCCATTCATCTGTTGATGGACATCCAGGCTGTTTCCAAGCTTTAGGTATTACAAACTGTGCCACTGTAAACGTGAGTGTGCATGTATCGCTGTGGTGTGATGCTTTTAATTCTTCCAGGAAGACACCAAGAAGGAGAACAGCTGGGTCAAACGGAACCTCTAGTTTTAGTTTGTTGAGGACTCTCCGCTCTGATTTCCATATTGTTTATACCAGTGTACACTTCCACCATCAGCGAAGGGCTCCTGTTCCCCACAGCCCTGCAGCATTGTTGGTTGATATCTCAATGGTGGCCATTCTTTCTGAAGTGAGGTAGAGTCTCAATGTTGCTTTAATCTGCAGTTTTCAAATGACCAGTGATGTCCACCGTATCTTAAATACATTATTTGCCATTTGTTCTTCTTCATCTGAGAAGTGTCCATTTTAGTGCCCCATTTGGGGTCTTTAAGTTTGAGGCAGAGTCTGATTTTTTTTTTGAAGTTCTTTATGTATTCTATTTTTTTGTCCAAGGAATAGCCAGTAAAATTTTTTTCCCATTCTGTGGATTTGCTCTTCACTCTGTTGGTGGTTTCCTTGGCTGTGCAAAAGCTTTTTAGTAAGATGAGATCCCAGTTGTTGATTCTCTGTAGCATTTCCTGTTCAATTGGGGCTTTGTTCATAAAGTCTTTGCCTACATCTAAGTTTTCAAGAGCTACACCTATTCTATCTTCCAGCAGATTGTTTGTTTTAATATTTAGATCTTTGATCCATTTTGATTTTACTTTAGTGCATAGTGAGTGATATGGGTCTAGATTTAATCTTCAGTATGTGGAAAGTCAGTTTGGCAAACAAACAAATCTGAGGATCAATGGAACAGAGAAGAAAATGTAGAAACAACTCCAAGCACACTCAGCTACCTTATCTTGTACCAAAGGGTCAAACAGCTTCACAGGAAGACAGCCTCTCTAACACATCGTTCTGGGAAAACTGATTTTTAATCCTAGGAGTCTTTTGGTAGAGTTTTGGGGTCATCTAGTAGAGTATCATGTTATCAGTAAATAATGATAACTTCTTTTCCTATCCATATTTCTTTTCTTTCTCTTGTCTAATTGCTGTGGCTAATGTTTCCAGAACTATATTGAATAGGAATGGTGACAGTGTACATCCTTGCCTTGTTCCTGATTTTAGAGTGAAAGCTTTCAGTTTTTTTTCCATTTAGTGTGATGTTGGCAATTAGTTTGTCATACATGACTTTTATCAGATTGACATAAAAATCTCCTATTCCAATTTTCTGTAGGGTTTTTATCATGAGTGTGTTTGAATTTCTCAAATGCCTTTTCTGTATCAATTGAGATTATAATGTGATTTTTGTCTTTGGGTTTGCTAATTTGGTGTATTCCATTTATTGATTTGTGTATGTTGAACCATCCCTGCATTCCTGGGATGAATCCCACTTGGCCAGGGTTTATAATCTTCCTGATGATTGTTGCATTCTGTTTGCCAGTATCTTATTGAGGATTTTTGCATCTATGTTCATTTAGGGATTGGCCTGTGGTTCTCTTTTTTTAGTTGGATCCTTTTCTGGTTTTGGTATTAAGGTATTGC